CTTTTAAAGTGATTGCATTCTCTGAGCTGAGTGATTTAATTGTGCCTCCTTCATTGTCTTCCTAGACAACATCTTCAGCACAGACGTCAATATGAGGTGAACTTCTTTGAATTCTCCATGAATAATAAAGTTGCATCTCTTGACAACATTTGTCGTTATTGGTTGTTAATTTGCATTAGGATTTATTGAAAAGGTTGTATCTAGAATTTTGAAGAAACTGACTGTTTGAAGGTAGTGTTCAGCAGTAACTGACGCCAAATGGAGAAGCAGTATTAACCATGAAGAACAGTAGACAACCACCCCATCTCAACTCAGAATTCATCAACTGGGTTACTCACTCATGACTATGAATGAGAACTAGCCTAGCACTTTCAAGTTTAACAATTTGTAGGTTACCACGCAGGTAAATTATCAGATTACTTCAGTGATTCACAAGTAACTGTCTTCATCCTACCAGTTATAAATTCTAGCTGGAATCTGACAATTTGATTTTATTTACGAATATGCACGGGATTGTCATTCAACTACGTTAATTGGGACAACGGTAATCAGTGGTGACACAGAGTTGTTCAGTCCAGTAATCAAGTAATGATAATAATTAGAGATCGAAAAGGGAGAAAATTACACTCTAGGCGATAATAATAAAAGAGTTTCTCATTTAGATAGGAGAATATATCATCTCCAACTGTTTATACATATCACAATAATCTATCTATATAACTGGAATGGAAAAAGATGCATTACGAATATCTCCTGAACATACTGTATCACAGAAGATTTCAATGAATTCCTGCTGCGAATTAGATAAACTCATAGAGTATACACAATACTTATTGAATTATAATATAATGAAGTGTATAACCTAGCCCGTCTAATGGATATGGAGGTGCGTATCAATGAAATTTCAGTTCTTACTAATCTATAGAATTCACTATTCTAATCCTTAAGGTTTTTACACCTTCGATGAATACGCTTAGCTGAGGGAGTTGTCATCAAAGAAGTTTTTACGTGCAAGAAATGTTCAGCCTACTTTTACCGCTGGCACTGACAATTTCGCCTTATTTAATTTATCCAATGCGATGAATAACTGCCCCCAGATTCTCCATTATTATTAGCATGGAAACTTCTGATAATAGAATCATAAAGAGTACGAAATTTCACTAAAAACAATAATGTCACCTTTGTGTGTACTACTATCTTTATTATCACGATTGTTAAGTAATTGCTGCGGGGTCATCATTCTGATCAGCACCAGAAGTTTCTTTTCCCTAGCGAAATTAAAGAATGTTTTTCCGGAGGGGTAATTAATGAATTTGAAGTCTACTACCTTTACGTAGATTATACATTTCTGACTAGAAAACGGGGATGATACAACGACAACTAATTTCAACTTCAAGAGAGACTGTAATGACAGTATTTCATGTTTATGTCTTAAATTTGAGTGGGAGGATACAAGAATAGTTGGAAGGTTACATGCAATTTTATGGCATATCCATTTTTGTGTTTTGTACCTTCGAAAAACAAACGCTATCTATAGCATTTGATTCACCCACCTAGACTGAAATGGCCCCCTCGGCGAAGAACTTTATCCAAGGGCTATCCAGAAAAATGGATATCCAAAGATGTTTCTTGAGGAAAATACAGAATTGTCACTTAATAAAGCCTGTTAACAACCGGTCTCCTTCAAACTGCAATTTTTTGAAAACTTTACTGATGAAGTTGTAACAAAACGTTTAAAGACTTCTATAAAGGAAATATTTACTGCATTATTATACTGTCGTTTTATGACAAATGTAATCTATACAATTTTGCTTTCATCTAGTGTATGGTGACTTTCGACGTGTCTTCACTGTTTACAAAGATCCCATTGGAAGAAACAATACAAATTATATGTCAACATACCGAACTTCTTCCTCTGCCCAAGAACGAACTCAAACAACATTTACTTATGTGCATCAAAGACGTACAGTTCCAGTTCAACAACATTCTGTACCGCCAAATTGACGGAGTCGCCATGGGAATCCCCCTGGGTCCGATTCTGGCAGATATTTTTATGGGTGGTCTGGAACAAACAAGGCTGAAATCCGCAATCAGTCAGACCAATTTCTATATCAGGTATGTCGACGACACTTTCGTTATTTGTGATTCTTTTGATGATGCATCTCAAGTACTAAAGGTTTTGAACAGCGCCCATCCTAATATTAAGTTTACAATGGAGCATGAAAAAGAGGAGAAGTTCCATTTTCTTGACCTGGGTATCCAACGAGATATAGACGGCAAAATCATAAGATATATACACAGAAAAGAGACCTGGAGGGCGGTTTATCTTAACTTCAAAAGTTTCTACCCTATAAGTTAAAAAAAAGGATTGGTGAGAACATTATATGATCGTGTAAGGAAGCTGTGTTCAGAAGAAAAGATTGAGGAAGAGCTATCCATTGTGGAGAAATGCCTACGTGACAACAGTTACCCACAAAAGTTCATCGACAAGTATAGGAGACGTCATGTTGAGAAAGTGAAATGCAGCACATTGGGGAAAAAGCCTATCTTTCTGCAGCTTGCATTCAAAGGTGATGATACTGCCAGTAGAATAAGATGCAGACTGAACGCTGCCCTGAAAAGAACATATCCAGCCGCCAAGCTTGTATGTGTTTATCAAACAACTAGTTGTTTGAGACAATCAAAAGTGGACAAATACCCACCTCATGTTACCTCCAACTGTGTCTACCAATTTACATGTACGTGCCAAAGCACATACATCGGAAGAACAGAGAGAAGGGTTATTGTCCGCATTTCTGAACACATACCAAAGAACCTGAGACTGAAAGGTCCACAAGTATTAAACAGTGCAATTACGCGTCATCTATTAGACACTGGTCATAATGTAGACAACTTGAAGTCATTCAAAATAATCAACAAGCAAAAGAAACCTAGCTTGCTACGCTTTGCTGAAGTAATTGCTATCAAACGACTTAAACCAAATCTATGTACGCAGAAAGAGACAGTGGTGAATCTTGCACTGACCTGGTGATAACAAAAAAAATATACAACTTGTATGAGTCACCCTTTTTCTTGTTTAGAAAACTCTACTCTCTCATCTAAACATGACTCACCCTTGTTCTTTCCTCTTTTTTTTCTATTGGCTTTTAGATAAAACATTTTCTTTAGTTACGTAATCTACCTTTTGTTATGCTCTTTCTAGCTAAACCTTGTTTCTATACACATACATATATATATATGCAACTCTGTTTTTGTTTCCAAGCCTAATTGTCTAATTATTCTATAAATAATCAGTGTTTGTAACTCTTAATTAGTTAAATCATTCCGGACTAATGTTACTTTTACTTCCTACCAATTACTCCTTGTGATCGTGGAAAAGTATGTTCAATTCTTTAATGTAATATAATTCATATTTTTATCGTTCAGGTTGTAACCAGTTGAGAAGAATCCTCGAAATAATAAAAGATGAGCTCATATTATCCTGGTACAATTGTTGTTCTTGCTTTGATCAAGTCTAGTGTATTTATTAGTTTATCGATTACTGTAGACCCAGTTACATTGAACGTACAATTAGGAAGGTTTATCGTCAGATTTTCGAACATCGCTAAACGACAGATTACTTTGCCCCATCTCTGTGATACCAGACACACTGTGGTGAGAGCTATCTGCTAACCAAAAATGGTAGACAGCAATTTACGTCCCAAATCTTGGTCATGAGAAAAACAAGAACAAAGACTTTGCGTGGGCGGATGCGATTCGCAGATATGGTCTGACCTTCAAAGAAACAACCGCAAAAGAGATGACAGATTAACTTTCAGCGAGAAAACAACCAATCAGAAGACGCTGTTTCTCTATTTATAATTACGAATAATAATGTACATAAAAATGTATAAATATTTCTTGATTTCCTCAATAGACAATCTGTTGCCTAGCCCTTGTCTTCTGTCGTTACAACACAACTGACACATGAACAAAGTTTTCAAGGTTGTTTGTCGCACTTCAGTCAACCTTAATTTTACCTCATGAATTTAGTTTTTATATGTATCAGGAACCACTGAGAGCTAACTGAATAAGCCATATCTGAGTTTACGAAAGAAATCCCTATAGACACTTTCTCCGAATTGGCCAACCGCACAAACTAACATACGTCACTATAAAAATAACCATTCCCCTTTGCCCAAATACAGCTTTTTAGTACTTTTAATTTAGCGTCATTTTTAATTATTATGCTCACTTGACTAAATCGCTAATTCATGCTAGTTCTTTACCACACAATATATGCATTATATTGCACAAATTTGCGGTGTAATTATTTCTATTTTTAAATTGTTGGCCTAATTACTATACAGTATATAGTAATAATAATTGTTGCCCTGATTTTTCTTCGTTAATTATGACTCCTCTGACATGCTGATACTGATGAATTATTGTAGGATAACTTATCAACACTATTTACTAAAAGTCTTTCCGATGATATATCAAATCCCAGACAGTTTAGGTGAATCCTAATTTTGCATTAAAAATTTGCCCACAATGATAATTGCATTTCACTGTTTGGCATTTAGGAAGAAAATAAAGTGGAAACAACCTTTAACTCTGGCTAAAATACAGTAGGTAAGTACGAAAAATCTAAAGCTGACTGTCAAATCACTGGATACTGGAAGTGTGAAGCGTTTGTCACCAGAATCCAGGCCAACTGAACACACTGGAGATCAGTGTCCCTGTCTTACAATGACCGTATAAATCCACAACCCCAGGATAATGGAGGTGTGGTTATTGAAGTTTATTGATAGATAGTACAAAACGAACGGACAGTGAAAGGTTTGATATATTGACTAGAATGCTATGCTATTCCATGAATTCGTACAATTGGCGCAGATTGTTCGGCTGAAATTTGAGTGTTAACATTGTACTATACTAGAGGAGGTAATAAAAATTTAGAATAGAACCACGAGGTCAGTAGTTATTAGCATACTTGAGTATTGGTTATCTATTAGAAACCGGTTTCATTCAACATGTTCACAGTAGTTTATTAATAGACACCAAACATCAAACAGCATGAAGATACATTTGATTTATGAGGAGGCAAATGGTACAGTGTTGTGGAGATACACGGGAGACGTGAAAAGAACACAAAGAAACACAACATGAAGTCCAGAAGTACGACAACATGAAGATCTGTGCAGGTGGTGCGTTGAAGATGAGGTATACATAATTTGGCTATATAGAGGTACCAATATCCAGATACACATTCCTTTACCAAGTCTTTGTCTTTGACCGTTTCAGGTGAATCTCTGTTTTTTGACTTTCCGTCAACATTAGCAGAACAAGTTTATTCTCATACCGCTAACGCAAAGTAAAAGATATAAAGCATAACAGGAGTTACCAACAGTTTTTCACCTGTCTGCTACAGCTACACCTAGAAGAATAGTTGTATTAGCTGTGATACCTTACTGGGCCATTTTTTATCTCAGCACAATCATATATATATGTATATATATAATATACTTGGAGTGAATTGTGAGTGTCACATCAGAGTCGTCTATTTCTTAAAGATTCATACATAATCAATAAAGACCTGTACACTGTAAGACTCCTAAGATGATTTCGAATGCTGGCTAATCTTTTCAATAAAACTGTTTGGACTCGGTTACCCAGAACAGACTTTACATGCACCAAGCTAAGAGATACAGTCATTGTGTGAGGGTAGAAGATACTACCCAGTTGCGCAGGCTAATGTAGATTGAGTGGGAATCGAACCCGTCACTCATCGGCTGGAACCAAGCGCTCCAGCCAATGAGCCACACATCCATATCAATAAAACTAAGTAAGCCAATATGAAAAAGTACACTTTAAAGGAAAAAAATAATAAGGTATATATATGAAAAAGATCGCAAAACAAGTGTACATGAAGCGAAGTTTGAATTATGTTTTCAGTTCACTGAAATTCACGAGGTTTGAAAGCTCAAAGGTGAAAGTTAAACACATTAATGTTTATTAGGTTCTTTAACCATCCGATAGAACAGGATTCTTTTTAGTTGAAGGTGAATTTGGATTAGGCAGTGATGATATTTTGTCTGTTGATAATGTGAGAGAGGCAAGTTCAGCTTCTAAATCATCATAATTGGGGCGCTGTACTCTTTCTGGAGACAAAGGTTTCTTTGGTGGACTAAGAAAATCATTCAGCTCCTGTTCCAAATCACTCATGTCTTCCAAATTGAAAGAACTACGTCCATAAGAGCTAAGAGCATCCGAAATCTACAACGATAAACAAATAAATTTAAGATGGTGATGAATTAACATTCTCATACTTGCTTTCTTTTGCATATTACAGATGATATACCATAAGGGTATCCTCGTGGTGATTACGCAACTTAGTAAATACACCTTAAAAAATTAATGATTATTACGAAAGTAAATAAAAATTAGCTAGATTATTCATCTTTTCAAATAAAACAGTTGGTTAAAACCAATCGCCCAAAGTACATGCTCATAGTTTATTTGTCATATTTATCACATGCTACTGCTTTTCTTAATTCAATAGTATTTTGTTATATCTAAGAAATTACTGCTTAACTGTCAAACAGTTAGAGTTACAAATCCAACAGTTCACTGACCTACTCTTGCTGGATATTGTTTGTCTATTAGCCTCTGACGAGGTTGAACGATTACACACTTTGATTACTGTATGGTTCACAGCAAAGACAAAAGTGTGCAGTACTCAATTACCCTGAATAATTAGTGTTTTACAACAGACATGGAAATATAAGAGCTCCTGAACACGTTGGCAGTATGACAAAACTCTAGAAGAATAGAACTACACATATAGCAAATTTAAGATCACTCGCCAAAGGCTGATTACTGCCTTCACCCACAAATGTCAGAATAAAACATTTTACAACAATAATGGTGAGAACCATTCGTACTTTACTTATTTGTTAAGATGTGCACTATCTGGGAACAACGCACTTTTGTAGTACACACTGACAAAACTGACAACGGTTAGAATTTGACCATTAATGATTGTAGAGAGAGAGTAGAGAGAAACAATGGGATGCGATAGACAATAATGAGAGTAATGAGAGAAAGGGAAATAAACCCTCCACAATGCCTTAAGTACATGTTCGTAATACTTGATTAATAGAGACTGCAATTTGTTATATTTTTTTCGTGCTCTGAAGTTTGTTAGATAAGCAATCTCTTACCTCTTCTCATCGTTGTTTGCCTATTTCTTGGAAGTTCATATATTTCTGGTGGTTAAAAACCAAGATCCATTTTTTGCCTGCTTTTTTGTTTAGTTCTGTTGAATATATATACTTGTATGATTGAGAACTGAAAATATCTTATTTCTGATCAAGAGATAATTATACGTTCCTTATATGAATTACGCTTTAATTATTATCAAGAAGGGAGAGAATGAAGATACGATTGAATACAAAGCCTTTTAGCATTAGAAACAAAAAGAACAATCAACCTGGCTTTCTGAAAACAGTCATTATCAACATCATCAAAGGAAATAATGAAAAAATGATCTTGATTGAAGGATGAGACACAGCGGTTAGTACGTTACAATTGGCGATAAAGATACTTAATGGAGTACGAACTCACTGCAGCACAAGAAAAATTGTATTTTAAAAGCTTTACAAGAATATCTGAGAAAATAATCAATAAAACTCATCAGCAGTAAATGAGAGAATCACGCTTTCTTTCATCCAAAACGTCTTAGGAAGTTATTACGTCCTTTTACGACAGAAGTGACTCATTAATTGTGAAATATCCTTTGCAAATAGGCACAACGCCATCCATATAACCACATCATGACAACAAAAAGTGGAACAAAAATGACACAGTTTATAAAGTACTGAAATAAAGTTGCTCACTCTGATTAAAAACGGTTACTAGAAAACACTTACCTCCTGACTTTCATGAATACTTTCCATCACATCAGTAACAATACCTTCCGCTTTATTCAGAGCATCAGATCCTCCGACCGCTAGCTTAAGTGCTTCATTAACACTACCCAGAACGCGTACAATATTCCTATTTTCAGCTGCAGATTGTATATCTAACAACATTCTCTCAAGATTATTGAGTTGCGTTTGCTTTTGATCTAAGGACTTTTCTAATACTTTGGTACGTCTTAACAAAGACTTTGCTTCTAAATTCCTGTGAAAGAAATAAACAGGTGTAAATATAACGACGTTCAATTGGGAAAAGCCATAATATAGGACTAACAGAAAGGAACAGATGTGTACATACTTTTTATTCATTAACAGAGATTTGATCTGAGCACGATTCTGTTCGATTGTAGTTTCCAACCTTTCCTCTTCATTTTCGAGTTGCCCAATTGTAGTTTTAAGTTGAACAATCCCACTCAACACAGATGATTCCATCTTTGCAGTTTCAGAATTGGGTGGTTTAGCTGGTCGAGTATTTATATTTTCACCAACGCGAACAATCTGTTGAAATAAAAGTATTTCGTTAGTAACTTACACAGAACATTATTATTTTCTGTCACTTTCGATGGAAATGAATGCGGTTACTCTTTTGATGCATTTTACATATAAAATCGGGCTGCACGGAAATCAACAATTTGACATAACTTTATGAAAGAAAATTTCACATATTATATTACAAAGAAATATTTCTCAGTGTGCTGAAATATTAAATTTTTCGCCACTAGTGCCTATTCTAACTCCCATAAATGGTTTGGTACGACCGAGTCCGTAGATTCCAGTCTACTCCCCAAATTTCTCTCATATGACTATGACTCAATTGTTTGTATCACATAATTTTTATTTACTGACTTCAAGTAGTTGCGGGTTTTTTATTCCTTCACATTCCGAGTGAGACGTAGGGCTTCAAGATACAGCTTTGAAGTGTCGGTAGCAGTGATTTAATTTTTTTACGGGATGGCGTTGCTAGCTTCATACCCAATCTTCCCTCTTTATCGGCCTTACTACCGGCTTGACGATGTTTAGGAGTGCGTCGGCCGGGTTCCGAACCCCAACCACATGCATGGTTGGCGAGCGTTCTACCACTGAACTAACGACGCTGCAGGTGTTCCTACAAAATAATGGAAATGAATTCCCCGCATTCACTACGAGACTGCCTGAGAAAGAGTATTTATGTATGTATTCATTCGTCTATAATTCAATATCATTGTATGGTAATTCCTGTATAATAACTGTTTTGTTTTCTTTTATCATCTTTATTTTATTTTTCTTATTTTTTATTTACAGCTTGATGCCACACCGTATTTTCAGTACAAGTATGGAATTTTCAGCATGGATATCGGTAGCCCAAATTTTGCAGGCCGACCATAGATATCGGGTGTGCGTCGGCAGGGGATCGAACCCCAGACCATGTGCATGGTCGGCGAGAGTCCTAACCACTTTGCCACCTACGTTCTTTTGTATCTTTATCTTCGTCATCTATTCATTTTCGTTTCAAATCCTAATCTAATCTGTACCGTTTTAAGTCGCTAACTGCCTTGAGAAAGCCTTCCACCTACAACATTCGCACATTGGTGAAAATTGAACAAAAACGCAAGTTTGGTCTAAACCCTGAAGAGCCTTGCTATTGTCGTATGCTGCACTTTAGAGGTCCATAAACAAGATCCCTGCGAAATGCATCGAGTAACTTCTCCATCCGTTGGTTCGAATAGTAAGTTCCATGTGCTGTAATTTGGGGAGCCTGTGGCAACAGCGTCCGGTTTTACTAGTGCCAGAGTCATATTAAGTGCTAGAACCGCTTGCTTCTCCAACTAAATTCTAACTGAAAGTCTTTCTCACACACGGTTACTTTATTTCGCCACTTCTTTTCAAGTTAATCACCAATGGAATTATAGAGACACGTCGGAAGGATGTGCGTGATGGTGCTGTAGATTTGCTTTCGGGAGAAAGGATTTTTAACGTTGAGTATACATATTATGTTGTGTTACTGTGCGATAAAAGTGCACTGTAAATATGTCATATGCTTTACAATGTCCAAGGGCAAAGTAATTTTGAAAGTTTGGCAGAGTCCTATGCATACATTCACTCCCTCATGTTAACCATCATAAGTAGTTCATGTGCCTAAGTAGTAATAAACTCCTGTGAAACCTGGCCTTTCCGTATTGACGATGTGCGATGACTTTGCTTCTTGGTGATGTTATCGTGTACATAATTCTGGGGTGCGACAAAATATGTTTGCACCTAACGTGGATTGTTTCCAACTAATTTGTGTTGTCTTGAAACATCAGCTTTAGTGATTGAGAGTGTCATTCCAACAGCTTCCTATCATCCAATATTTACTATCCTTGGAACTGGTCGGAATAGGAGGAGAGAACGTAAGCCCAAGACGTGGTGCCATATGATGAAAGATGGATGTGCTAGCTTAGTATGTGTCTGAGAATCATGGCTTCCTAGGCGATGTGCCTATATTGTACCAGTTTTGTATTTTAAATAAATGAATCACTTCACTATAGTACCCTACACTTGACTGAGAAGTAAAATATCAGAAAATGAGCTATGATTTTTAAGTACAAATAGAGTAGCTAATGATTAAAAATAAACCATGATCTGAGCATTATATATATAATTGCGCAAAAAGTCAATTTTCTCAGTAATTATGATTCTGCTGTTTTTGTCCTATCATCCTGTTTAGGATTACATTTAAATCCCTATTTGCAATTTTATCAGTGTGACTTTTTACCAGAAATCGTTCTGGAACCTTTTCCCTTATTTATTATAAATACAAGAAAGTACAGCCTAGTTGATGATTTAGTAGGAGGGAAATTTTTCTTCACTGCAACAGCTTTTTAATATTTTCTATAATCTGACGTCTATATTCGTTGAACACTCTACACTGAATCTTTTGGTGTTGATTTTACAATTGAATTATTAAATTATTTTTGTAGCTCCAATATGTTTGAGCGATCGTTACACAACGGATATCAAACGTACTTGAATCGGCTTAGCATTTGTAGTCGAAGTTGTTTCAACAGAAACACAGTGTTTGATGTTCTTCAGCAAGTTCCAAATGTATTCACGAGTGGCAGCATGTGAGTAAAAGCGTGATAGAGCTGAATTGAAAACGTCTAGGTCATAAACAGGAGAATGGGGTAACAACCTTTGATCACAGTAATTTTCATGGAACCAAGACATGAACTCCGCTGCAGAACTTTCAGCAAACTCAGTAAACACAAACTGTTGATCCAACATATCAGATTCTGTTTTACTGGAGGACTGCTGACTAGAAAATACGAAAACAACGGTACACACAATAATTGTTTGAAGCAATTTAGTGTAAACAACGAATGTGATGTTAAATAAAAACTCCATATAATATTAGGGTTAAAATACTTGTAGGCATTCGCAGTAACTAACATAGGGAACTGGTCATCTGACTACTAAATATACTAGAAGAATTATCAGTCTATGATTCAAGCGAAAGTACTGAAAAGCAAGTCATTCTTGTCACATTATAGGATTTCCAGTCTAACATAAAATGAATTATCCCAAGTCGCTACATCTCTTAACAGCACATGAAGAAACCAGTAAAAAAGTAGTATTAAAATAAACACAAGAAGAGTTTTATACATACAGAGCACAAGGTATATTAAGAAGACTGAAATCTACTACACCTACATTTCTGGGATTAATTATGAAATAAGGAACCTGGACTCTCAAAATAATGATTACTCCAATATGATAATTTCACTGTGAGTGCTATATTGTCCTATGTGGCTCAAACAGACAGTAACTTCAAAATGGTAATGTTAGACTAAATCATCTCAATGCAGCCATTATCTCACACTTTGGTAAGCGAAATACTCTAGACACCACTTTATTCAGAACGAATAATAATCACCTTATAATTAAGGTCTGAATAGCCATACAAATTTAACTAGAGTAACAAATTCGGTGCATACTTCGATTACAACAAACGTTAGTAACGAAGCAGATGATAAACCACGGTGAGTAGATCACTTCATAAGAAGAAAACCATATTCATATATGCATATGCGTGTATGCAAATATAAGAAAGCGCGAAGAGAAAATAACGACTGACAAAACTTTTAACACGGCTAAAAACAATTGTTTTACTACTTTTCAAATTTTACTATCGCTTTTACATTTTTGAATGGAAAGTAAATTTCAGTAGGTTTTCCATGTACAATTCCACCTTACATGCCTAATATATAAATAACTACTTCGCAAAACATTAGGAGATAACTACCAAGTAGCCTTTAAGCAAGGATAAAAAGGATCAATCCATTTGAATTTTTGAAATAAGCAACAAACAATATTAGACGAACATTATTTTTCAAAAATAATTTGGGCTAAAATTAGCTATTTTTAGTGTGTTCTTTTACATGTCCTGGAAACATAAATCCATGATAAAGGCTAAAAAATATTCAATGTCAAAGATACATTAAAAATATTAGTATGATGTAAGAGTGAGTACTGTAGGTAGATAAAGATATAATCGATTGGATACTAATGAAGACAGCATGTTCAGTTTAGTGTTGGTTTTGCATTAAACTAAATACAAACAATATTGACGATAATCCTTTATTCGCAAAAAGAAACATGTGACTATCAGTTCTGGAGTAAAGTGTTATGACGTAGCGACGAGGTATATTAAGTAGAATGAAGATTAGCTGATTAAAATAACAAAATAACTGGATATGCGAAGTGTTGCATAAAGATAAGAAATAAAATCATTGTAATGGATATTAAGTTCTCACAGATAAAAAATCTGAATATAAATTTATCATTGACGGGAAGCAGACAAAGAAGTAGGAATGCAAATTGTGCTATTACGTTAATAACCTGTTGTACACAAGGTCAAAGTAATTCTCACAGTTTACGCTAAACATGTGAAAAGTCAATGTCACCTTTGGCAGATTATAAATAGCATGATAATATCACAAAGTTTGATATAAGTTAATTTAGTTCCAATATTTACCAACTGAGATGAAGCTTCACCATTTAAACAAGTCCTTTACTCCAAACACTCATGGACGGAACCAAAATATTTGGTTGTTTCTCACACTAACAAGGGATACGAAACCATAGAAATGAGTTCAACTGCGCTTTTAATTAATGACGCGTTAAAGATACTAGTTAACTTGTTATGTGTATCTTGTAGTTGTGTGGTGAGAGCTGGCTGCTAGCCAAATTGGTAGACAGTAATTCACGTCAATGTTTATGTCCCCAATATTGGTTATGAGAAAAATAAGAACAAAGACTGTTTCAATAACCAATCACAGAAGACTTTGCGTAGGCGGATACAATTTGCAGATGGATAATCTGAACTTCTAGAAACGGTCACCAAGAGATGAAAGATTAACGTTCAGCGGGAAACCACCAATCAGAAGACCGTATTTGTTTGCTTACAATAATCTATAATAATGTACATGAAAATCTATAAATGTGTTGATTTCCTAAATAAACGATCTGTTGCCTGACCCTTGTCTTCTGTTGTAACAGTAGCATGTCAGCTGTAGTGAAATAAAAGGTTGTCACTCTAAGAAACAAACTTTGACGGATCATTTGAACTACATAGATCTTTTGTTTGAAGTTAACAAGATATTCAAAGTCTTAGAGTAGATTTTTCAGATAATACAGATATTTAGCCTAACAATAAGATACAAGGGTTTCTGTATCATTTACCTTTATATCTCATTCTAAGCTCTACACTTTCCATAGCAGATCATTTTCTTAAACTTCACTTTAATTGATTACTAGCATCTGTACGTATGATTGATGTTTTTCACTGTAGGAGTGCAGAGTATTTTGACACGAATAGCTTGCAGTCAAACCTACATCAGCCGTAAGTGGTGCATCCTTCAGAACCTAAGTTCGTGTAATTGTGCAAATAAGTAAATGACAACAGCATGTCTTTCGACCTGCCATTTCTGGACAAAAGACGTAGAAATAATACAACGAAAGTGCCATTTGAAAGAAGACGAAACCACTAACCGTACAAATTTACACAGATATCATTAGGAGAAGAATAGCACACAAATTAATATGTTCTAGTACGACTGACTTTGAGCTATGCGACCGCAGTCATATAGCTCTCGCAGTCAAATGTACACCAAACCAATCTATAATTCATGACACAACTCAGTAGCTAGTGGCCTTATATGGGTTAGTGTCTTGGTATGCGCACTGAAAGCTGTTTACCAAACCAGCCTTGCATTTACCAAGTAGGTGACCAGTAGGTATGCGTAACACGTCTCAGCCTGATCGGAAGGTGGTATGTAATTTTACTAATTGATTTACTGGTGACACCTAAATCTTACACTGTTCGCACGATACCCCCACCAAAATCGATCATTACGACGTAGGTGAAGTTGGCCACATATCTCTAATAACTCATTTAAGTGATAAAGTACAGAAAGATGTATCATCATGCAATGTATTCGATGGCTAGTAAGCTCTGGCATAATTTACCTGACTGGCTGGGTTCAACATAGAACTTGGCACCGAAGTGCAACAGCTCCAGTTGCCACGTTCCAAAGAGCACACAAAGGTAGACAGGAAAATGAGTGAAGAGAATCAATAGAGTTTTGACAAGTATAAGAGTGAAACAGAATGAGTAATGGTAGAAAGGAATATGAAAGATTACAGAGACTGAATACATCTGCGCCATTGACAACGATTTTGAGCCATGTCACCTATTGTCTCCAGCCATTGATTCTTAGAGTCCCGACGGCAGGTCCCAACCCGGAAGTCTGCATCTCCCTACCTGACTCAGTTTAACTGTCAAGGATTTCATGGATTGATGCCATGTTTTTGTTTGGCCACCACTTACTCTTTTCCAACCTGCACCTATATCAGCTAGTAATGCCCGTCGGGGGAAACGATGGTTAGGCATGCGCAGCACGTGACCTAACCATCTCAATCTATGTAACTTCATAGCCTCTTCGATTGATTTTCCCTCTTTGCCCAACACTCTACGCCTAACGTCAACATTACTTACCTTATTATACCACCTAGCGCGAGAAAGAGATTGTAAACATCTGTGGTCAAAAACAGTCAACCTTTTCATGTCTTCAACTCGTATTGGCCATGTTTCAGAGACATAGAGAAGGACGGAGCGAAGTGCTGAGCAGTACACACGTCCCTTGGTTGATAGCTAGATGTCACGCCTACGCCAGAGACGGTGTAAGTTAGCGGAAGCAGCCCGAGCTTTTTGGATCCGTGCTGGTACAATTCAACGAGATTTTTAGTATGCACAGCGAGAATTTTGAGTTAAGAACTCAGCAGAATTAGCAACTGAATTGGTCGAACTAACAAATGTTTTACTTCCATTCAAAAAAGCTATATATACTAGTGAAGTGGAAAACGCATCCTAAACATTGGTAAACTATCCTATCACTTTTTCAATACTACATTTCGCTAGTGTTGCTGGCCAGTGGAAGTGTTATCTATGAATCATCTGAAGGGCCTTCTGCAAGATTAACACCTATCAAGTTTGGTGTGGAAACATACACTTCAACATTGGGTAATTTTAGTCAATAAAACACAGTGATACAGTACATTTACTGACGATGTATCAAGTAATTTATATTGGTACTATTATGATGAGCAATAAATTGTGCTCGAAAAGTCACCAGTATATAATAATAATACTAATGTATCACTGTATCTTATCAAATAAAAGATGGGATAATACTCTACCACACTGCCCAAATTCTACCCATATCAAAGATACCATGTATATCAATCATGAAACTAACTATAAACAAAGGGATATGCTTGAAGAATATCACCCGACTTAACTACTTCGAAGGAAAGGTCCCGACAGTGTCTAACATTAACACGAATGTTCTTGTGGTAAATACTAATTTCTACTAAATGAGTAAAGAAATGTCCCAATCAAATCCACTTACAAGAGATTTTCAAATAACGTTAAGAGGATCCATTGCAACAAGTACCGTTCAACATAATATTGTATTCAGAAGCGGTTTGTCAGAAATGTTTGACATCCCTACTCCTAATTACACCACGTCAATTTCATAGACCTGGGATTGACAGTCAGATAAAAAGCTCATGAGGGAGAAGGAAGTGTTTCCATAATCTCTTTAATGGAGAAGCAAGACATGTATTCAAGATTTATTAATGCACAATGAGAAAATTTCGAAAGACTCCCATTAAGAGAAAAGGTATGTAGTATAGATACATGGACTATCCCGAAAGCTCAACTTTACTAAATACAATATTGGAATGAATAACAGAATGCTCACTCTTTGGTAAAGAGGAACAATTAGTGCAGCCAGACACTGAAAAAGCTGGAAATCTATCAAACTACTTCATAAGTATGTTCCCTTTTGTAGTTGAATCAATATAGTCTATTAAATCGCTCTTGTCTCGATGGACAATGAAATGGTATCCGGACGACTCACTAACCACATGCCGATTGAATTACCGGGCCCTGATGGATTGCAACCTGGACTATTACACACTACGACCCATATAAATCATAAACAGATTACGGAGATACTCGAAATACCTCTGTTGCAGACTGTTACATATGAAATGGAGTAAGGCCATCAATTGCCTTATTTTCGAGAATAACGGAAAAGATGCATCTAACTACTGTTCTATTATCTGACTTGCGTAGTGGCTAGGATAGCATAGGCTAGTGACGACAGATACTGATAGTTTCCCACTGAGGCTTATTTAGGAAGCTAACAGGTTTTGGTAGGGATGCTTACATGCAAAATGGTTTAGACCGCATACATGATATATGGAGAAAATTGGTTTTGAATAAGTGTAAACTAGTTACGAGAAGGATTCTTTAGTGTACTACACTAGGACGCCTTTCCATTAGTGGAAGACCAGAGTACTTAAGTTATAATCCTTACTGTTTACAGATTACGATAAGGCTTAGAGGGTCGTTCATGATAACATAAGTTAGCAATTCAGGGTTAATCAAACTGATTGACTGAATTGTAAAAGGCTGGAAATGAACTACAGCGAAAGTGCCTTATATTATAGGAGAAAAGAATCGATTTCTGGCACTCACAACTTGAAGATAATAACACACTGCAAAGGCACTCAAGCCGGAGAATTTAAAATCTGGAGTGGCTTCTTGATTCATTTAGACGTCTTCATAATATTATTTTTACGATACCACATCTAATTTACTCAAGACTTTATCGTGAATATTACATACAATCATTAGCAGCAGACAAACATCGAGGGACAGGTAAATAGAGAAGGCTCGTTGTTGAAAGGGATGTCACACCTCTTTTATGAAATAAAAATAGGAAGTCTCTGTCTCTTCCTACTGTCATATGGAGAATTATCTTAGGTGGTGACTGGAATATTGACTTCTTCAATTCTCTAACCCCTTTAGTGACAACCTTGAGGGCCCATCATACACCGGTTCATCATCGAATTAACAAAGTCTGAGAAATAGACTCCGTTATTGATAAGTCAGTCACCGAAGTCCGCCTACAGACTTAATGGTAATAACTTATTCGGCGAATGCCTTTAAGAACAAACTGGATATTCACAGAAATACATACAGTTAGCTTCAAAACAGGTTATTTGGTCTACTATGATAAACTATGGAGTGGTAGCTAATTAATTCCTCACAGTAACTTTCTAACATTGGCTGCATTTTTAAAGTGAGCAGAAAAAAATAAGCCCAGTGACATCGTGTTACATAAGCGTCTACGTTAACCTTTTTAAGGAAACTTCGCTAGAAAAAGAAACTTGAGGGAAAAAACCTGAAGACGTTAATTTATACAATATTTAAAAAAATAACTAACCCACTTAAGTATTGATATGCCCACAGGGCCGGTTGGTGAACAACATATGATAAAGCTGTAAAAATGTTTCCTAATATACTTCTAGGAGGTATAACTGGCTCCAATAAGCCTTCTGATTCCATCTCTGTAATTACTTCACCAAGAGACTGTGGAAACAAATCCACACCCTCGACAGGAAAATGCCGAGTGAACAGTTTTTGAAGTGAATCTATACACACAACATAGGCTTTCTGACTTTTGGCATACGACAGTAATGTTCTTTTCCAGAACGTGATTTTTGCGTTATAATTAACGGGATCCACAAGCTTTGACCGCCGTATTGGTTGCATCAGAGAATACATCGCATCATCATCATTCCAAATATCCGGCAACTGAAAACCAGTAGACTTATCCTCAATCATTAATTTTAATTTCTAATGTTACTTCCTCCGTATGTTATACATGAGAGTTCAAGAGACCTTGAGTGTTATGACCTTGAGGTTGTTCATCGGGCAATTTACGCATATATATAGCCAAACAAGTTGTAGGATAATATCAGCTTTCCGATTTTAAGAAATACAAATGTTAGCCATGTTAAGTATTGTTTTAAAATTTCTTGTATCATACTAGGTAGCGGAATTTAATTGATTTTCTGCATGCAGGCTGGTATTGATCAGACTGGTTTCCAGATGACGCAGACGTGGTTGCTGACATTCGGTGGCAGTCATTCCTACCACTTGCCTGTCGCAGCCTTGGTACATCTATATGAGAGTGACAAGGCGAATAAGTCAGAAAAGTAGTTTGTAGTGCTACTGCCACTGGATGAGGATTCAGTGTGGACGAAGAAATGAGGAGAGTAGGAATGAAAGCAATTATGATGATTTTGAAAGTGACTGGCAGTGAACAAACAAATAAAGCAAAACTAAATATGAGTAAACAGGTGTATAAACGAGTATTCAGAAGGGTGAGTTAAGAAGAATCATGGGGTCTCATTGAAGTGAGTGATGTCATTCGTGGCCGGAATTTAGTTAAATTACGCTATCAAATTGCAAAGTCCAAGAATTATAATTCAATTCTGTGGAGCTAAAAGTTAGTGTGACGTAACCCTTGTATTGTTACATGTGTGTTTTTCCGTTATTGAAAGTCCTCCCAAAGTGATGCAGCAGCAAAAGATAACGGTGGTGAATTGTGGATCTGGAAATGTAGGGCGTTGTAAGTCAGGAAGTTTCGTATGCTTAAAACGTATACTCGTCTGATTTCAGGTAGGCTCCCTGTCATGCGTGGATGGGTCTTCCAAGACGACGTGACGGACGACCAATAGGAAGATTATCCCCCTCCCATACAACTGCATTAGATCGGTTGTAAATGGGATCCTTGACCTTCAGTCCTCTTTCTTGCTGGCTCGCGGCCCTTGTACTATCACCCTGCTAACCTGTTCTTCCCTCTCTGTTTCAGATCACTGCTTGTATATTTCCACTGGAAAACTTTGAAATAGGGAATGAATTGGAGTTTCACTGCGGCGTCTGGCATCTGATGTTTCATACGCAAATGCACCTGTAATTTTGGAATCTGACCTATCGGTGGAGTCTCAACGTTTGTTTTTTTCGTGGAAGACTTTCTTCTTCTCCTAGTGGGTGGTAAGTTGTTAACAAGGGACCCATTATATATAGTCTTAACCAATACAGCTTATTGTAAAAACTCACCTAATTGTATTGCTGCACTTCGATGGCCCTTTTGTAAGAATGAATTGGCAGAGCCACAAGTAAAATTACCCAGTGAGTTTGCTTCGCGTCCCCTAAACTTCCGTAATTTCGACAGCAGGCCCAGTAGTATTTTTCACTTATGGTTCTGAAGATAAGTTGCCTTGAGTAAGGTATGCACATATTCCTCAGTTATTGGTTGAATAACCACCACATTTTAGTCCACGGTATGATGTTGTAATGCTGGGTCTCTACAACACAGGACGCTACTGCCACTCAGAGCTAACCAGCGACTAAGCGATTCAGCAGGACGAGAGGTTTATGCAAGAAGCACTTATATTTTCTATTATTTGTAATGTTTTCTTCCTATACCTAAATCTACTGAATCAGGAATGACCTTATGTTTATTTAGCCAGGTTTCATCGCTTCATTTAGCCATCAGCATGACTCTTTTGACATCCTCAAACCTGCCTTCTGTAGGTTTACGCGCTATTGAGATACAACTATATTACAAGAAAAAGTAACGAAAAAATGCTAAGAATGTTAATGATATATACTTATTCCGATCTATGCAGGGACATTTCATTTGTGCAGCCATGGATTAGTATTTTTTAAATTGCACAAATTCGGTTTATGGTGAATTTACACGGTTGATGTCAGTTTTGACTTCATTTTGTGGGAACAATCTGCGAAATGGTCATTAGAAGGAGCACTTTAAGGGACATAGGAATGTTGATTTCGCATCAACAAAAAACCCAGGTATGCGTTGGATGGCTTACAAATACTTCTGTAAAAACAAACCTTGACGTCATTTTTGTCTAATAACTTTGCTGTATACGGTTTCGAATCTTACTCTTGACTTACATCTAAATTTTGTATCAATTTTAATTAAGTAATATATTCATATAATTAATCCAACATTATCATTGTAGGTAACGTCAGGATTCCATTGTCCTACATGCAGACGAGTATCTGCTACAGCCAGACAAATTTATTTTACTGCATCGACGTCAACCGATACCGCTATCTGTCACTGCATGGCGGTTTGTGCGAGCAAGCTGAACAAGATGCGGAAATCTATATGTAAACCAGCTGTATCTTCATTTTAGGCCAAGGATATTGCTCGAATATGATGTTATACAGCGTCCTAATAGGGTGACAGGGGTTTTTTCAGGGATATTAACTTACTACGAGCCAAAAGCATGAAGGATGATATCGTGTATATAAGTAAGTGGCTTCAAGCCCTGTTCAACTGCAGTCTTACTGTAGACCAATGCAACTTCCACTACAAGGTAAACAGAAGAGAAGAGGCAGGTAGAAAAGTACCAGAGAGGAAAGAAAAAGTATGTGGACATGTTGGAAGCCGTAACGTCTATATATATATATATATATATATATATATGTTTATATTCATTGTACACTGCTGCTAAGTAAACCTATATATTAATTTCTATCTAGTCTCTTTATACATCTATTCAGCCAGTCTGTTTGCCGTTTATAGAGCTATTAGTTAAGTTTTAAGCGTTCTTTAAGCATTACAGTAATCTAGAAATTGATTCTAGAAAAAATGGTTTGTTAATGTAATCATTAGAATGAAACAGTCCGTAAAGAGAGTGTCTGAAACTTACAACCGAGGTGCAAGTTCTGACTTCTATGGGCAGGTTGTTCCATATTTTAGAATACATGACTGTGAAGAAGTTTTCGCGGAGTGTTGACTTTTGTTTGTTGCACAAGCATTGCTGCAGTCAAAATTCATGCTGATTGCTGCAGCATCACTGACTAAAAGTGGCCCAACACACCAGTTGGCGTGCGGTAAAACATGTGTATAAGTATTACTACCTCAGCTGAAACCAGTAACGGCTGAGTTGCACAGCTGTCCTGAAGGATGTGTCACAAGATAGTTTCTAGGTTTTGTTAATCATTTTTACTGCTTGACGCCAGTAACACTTTCAGATCTTTTTGTCCGTCGTCGTAAGTCGCTAGGTAAATTCTTTATTTTCAGTCGGAAAACCAGAAAGGCACTGTGGTAAAACAGTGAAAACAGTCGAACCAGATAATCTCGAGACAGCAGCAGTGGCGAAAATGCCTGAATCCTCTCACATCCGTCACTCGTATATTTTGCTTTGCATTAGCTGTGAGTACTGCCGATATATGACCGCCAATAAGTGTGAAAATTAATCGCTTCTTGTGTGCCTTCAAGATGCCTGTAACCAGCCTTCCTCCACAGTGGCTGAATTTTTACCAAGCTCAAAACGAAAGTGCATATGGAGGCCTTGGAATTTGCAAAGCAGTCTGAAAACTTAAAGTGATACAGCTGAGAAAGTGACATGCTAACATCGTACTCATCTGCCTTTAGACAGTGACTGCATACGCACTCAATAAAGTGGAAAGACGAGTAAGAACGATGCATATAGAGACAAATGATAAAATACGTGAGGACAGGAATTGGTGTGTAACCAGACGGGAAATTAGGAGTGTTAATTCTATTACTTAGAAACAAACTGCTTCCTTCTATTGACTTGCCTAAAAAGCCTTTGCAAAATAAAAAATCCTTTTCATTAGGCCGTCAACTGATGGAGCAATGACTATGTCGCTTGACTGTCACTTCCGTGAGCATTGAGCCATGAAGCGAAAAGAAATTTAACTGCACGTCTTTAGTGGCAACACTGTCACGCCTGTCCCGAAGGATACCATGGTGTCTTCTGGTAATAAATTTCGGTTTGGGTGATCTGGGTTATAGGCGTTTCTATATTTGCTAATTACACTGCTCACAAAGCGCGAGCTCCTTGAATACGACGTGCTTTCTCCTCTCTAACCGGAAAATACCTATTTTGTGAATTATCCGATTGGGAAAACCTGATCTTCCTAGCCGGTGAATTAAATTCATCCATTACTTACATATTGAACCTCTGTGTGGTAAGTCCAGCTGTCTCGAACTACTGCTACTTTTGTAGCAGCATCTTCCTCACTCGTTCAAATAAACAAGACTTGTTGGTCTACCACGTGATTGCTGTGAAGCCGATCATCCAGAAAGTACTAGGTAAAGTCGAAAACTTTTTCTTTTCCTTGTCTTGTACTTTTTTAGTCTTATTTTTCTCTTGAGGGTAGATACTGTTGCATTCTTATTCTTATATAGCATAAGTTTTAGTGATTGTTAATATGGCTGTCGAAAGTAGCCTTAGAAATGGCACTAAAACACCTTACTCTGTAGTCACAGGGGCTTCAGCCAGAGAAGGCCAAAACCCAGGGACATCAACTCCTTCCCCCATACCGATCCTAAAGTCTCGTGTGGGTCTCGTCTGTCCTGAGACTACGCATGCATTGCCACAGTCTAGTACTGAAACGGCTTAAGCAATACCAGGGGGACAGGATACTACGCCTGCATCAACTGAAAGCCAGCGTGTGAAGTACAACAAACTTAAAAAGAAACGCTCAAGATGTCATAAGACCTCGAAGGCGTAACCAAGTAAGAGAAACGAATGCCAGGCATGCAGTATCTTAGTTTCTAAAGCTGACTTAGCGTTCGAATGCAATTTTTGCAAACGGTGGGTGCGCTGCTGTTGTGACCAAGAGGTGCCGAAAGCATACTACCAGTTTATGAGAAATAACCCGTGCCCGTGGTTTTGGTACATCTGTCCACTTTGTCGCCCTGGCATAGTCCCACAGAGTATGTCTGCGGAAAGCAGAAACAACAAGTCACTCTTGTGTCCCAACAAAGTCTTATGCAGCTCCCCACCTGCTAACACCACACCACCAAAACATGGCACAGACAGTAAGAAGGACACTCCAGTCCTACTGACTGAAAAT